GTGTGCAAGAATTAAATCAATTTATAAGGATCCTTGATACTTTGAATATACCATACAAAGATACAAAAATAGAAGACCCAAGCACAACTGTCACATTTCTCAGTATAACTCTAGACACAGCCGCTATGTTTGCATCAATACCAACCCACAAGCATGACAAAATAATACAGATACTGACCCAGTGGTCATTCAAAAAATAGTGTCTACAAAAAGATCTGCAATCTTTAGTAGAGCTGCTCGTATGGACATATCAAATCATACCATAAGGACGTCCTTTTATCCAGCGTCTAATAAAAGCACAAAACGATATTACTAACTCTCATCACCACATCCGGATATCAAAACCTATAACTACTAACATCCAATGGTGGATTTCAACAATACAAATATGGTCTGGCATATAATTAATGCAAGATAGAGACTGGCACCAACCACATACTTGGAATTTATTCATGGACACTTCAAACATCGAAGGCAATGTGACATTCCAGAGCTATTTCACAGCTTTCAATTGGTCTAAATCAATAGACACAAGAGCTATAAACATTCAAATGAGGGAACTTTTGACCACCCTCATCACAATACGAACCTTCGCTCTGATATGGAAAAGACAAAAACTAGTATTGTGGACTAATAACTCAGCCAATGCCATTGCGTACTATGCAGGGTTTTGCAAAAATCTGGACATTAACAAAATCATCACCAGGATCTATAAAGCACAAATCATGGGAAACTTCGCTGTAAAAATCAAACACATTCCTGGAATAAAGAACTTTGATGCAGATCTACTCTCCCGTAACGGCCACCGCAAATTTTTCTCTAACAACCCTCTTGCCCGATTTCTTCAGCCCGACATCCCATCTGATTATTCTGATCTAATCTTACTGATACCATCACTTAAACAATAGCCCGCAAGAACAAAGCAGCCACAATGCTGCAGTCACAGCTTAATGTCGACAGTTCCACCACATTTGGAAACCAATTGTCTTTAGACAAAAAAGCAGCCTCTATTCTCAATATTTCAGCCCCGTCAACAATCATACAAAGCAATCATCAGACATTTCAAAGCGTTAGCCTGAAATAATGAATGGAAAAACTAGGACAGATCAATATGGCCAGTATCAAAAGAGTCCCTTATAAAGTACATAACTATATTATATAAAACGGTCTCCTTATCCACCATTTTAACTTACCTTTCAGCACTAAAACACCACCACACGCGGAACTATCACGACTGGGCAAATACTCGCAATGACCTGTTAGTTACTCAACTTCTGAAGACCATTGATGCAGCCCATACCCATAAGCCAGTAAAGCAAAAAACCCACATTACTCAACAGCACCTTGCATATATTCGGACTAAGATCGATACAAACAAACCCATAGACCTCTATTTCTAACAGTGGCCCTAACAGCATTTTACGGCCTCGCACGTCTCAGAGAGCTCTTACCCAACAATCGATCTGATGACAAGAAAGTTCCAATACTTAAAGCATTGGCATTCGACAAAGCAAACAGCCATACCTTCGCAACTATACAGTTAGCCAAAACAAAGAACTATAAAATAGCAAACCGAGTCTCTTTAATAATAAACCCTACTAATAACATATTATGCCCTATATGCACCCTTAAGGCATATGCACAGATGCGCATCCAAACAAACTATGCCAAGAATTGTACTATACTCTTCACAAAACCTGACGGCACATGGGCAATAAAACAATGGTTCATAACAAAGTTGAAACAACTCCGTCTCCACGAGGATGTCGCTGGTCACAGTTTTCGGGCTGGAGACACCACCAAACTAGTAATACGTGGCATGCCACTAGTTTTAATTCAGAAGATTGGCAGGTGGAACTCCAAATCATTTTACAGATACATTCGAGACCACCCAGCAACAATCGTATCTAACTTAACCAAGGCATACAACAATTGAGCCTTCTAC